ATGTATGCATAAAGTACATGCATTGGTCAATTTTCTTTTAATAGTTGCATGCAATTATTTAACGCATCTTGAAATCTGAACTTGTGATGAGGAACAATCAAATTGAGTCTTATAAAATGGAAAAACTAAGATTTTAAGATAAGCCTTATAAACCGAAAAGGAGAGAGTAGTACAAAATCATGCATGCGATATAATTAAGGGGTGCACATTTTAAGGAAGCAATAGACACACCACTGCATCACGTGAGGGGGCTCCCAGATCCGGTGGCTATCATGCATCCCATCATACGGTCTATCACTAGTCTGATAAAATGCAACGATCAGTAATCTGATACCTAGCGTCTCCCTTTAAAAATTGCACTAGCTTGTGTTGGTTCTTCCATGTCTTCAAGCAATGCAAATTTTATGAATATTGTGTGTAACTTGTATATAATGAATTATATGGTTCATTTTGTTTTTACTATGACTTGTTTATTTTTATTTTTCTACAAAGGTAGGTCAAGTCCAGGAATTTTATCTATTATAGATAAAATGTATCTCTTCTAAAAGATAGATAATTTTTTTCAACTAATATATGCTCATCTTTTTTTTATTATGTAGGTTGTCTTTTTATGATTTTGGATTACCTTTGTAGGCAGGGAAATTTTTGTTTTTGCCACTCTAGATTTTGCCAATTTTCCTTATGCCACTTTAGATTTTGACATTTCACTTTTACCATTCTTAGTTTTTGACAATTATCACAATTGCCATTCCCGTGGCAAAAGCAAAATGTTGAGAGTGGCAATTGTGATAATTGTCAAAAGCTAAGAGCAGCAAAAATGAAATAAAATTATTTTGCTTTTGCCACAGAATGGCAATTGTGATAATTGTCAAAATCTAAGAGTGGCAAAAGTGAAATGTCAAAATCTAGAGTGGCATAAGAAAAATTGACAAAATCTAGAGTGGCAAAAACAAAATTTTCCCTGCTTGTAGGCATGCTATGAATGAAAAAATCCATATGTTTATGAACACGATACAATTGAAATCGCTCACATACACGAGCATACGTTCACTCATATAAAGGCACGCACGCACACCCTACCCTTATGAGCACCTCTGAGAGACTGAGATTGACAAAGTCACCAACAACACCTTCAGTGTCGACGGGAGCGTCTCCTCCCACTAAACGCACATCGCCGAAAGACCTGAAATAAATTCAGGAAAATGCGAGCACCAATATCAAGTCTAGGACTTGTGCTGGTGATATCACTGTCCTCCTAACCATCAAACCATTGGTTGATTCACAAACAACAACAAAAACATATTCAGTCAAAAACAAGGAAATTTTGATTGATAAAGTTAGAAAAGTTGCTAATTCCATTGCCCCCAATGCAATCTAGCCATGTTTAGTAAAATGTATCTTTTGTGTGTGTGCTTATTGGCGTAGTTCGTTCTTGAGTGTTGGAGCTGGTAAAAAACAATTGTAAAAGCTTGATTTACTACTAAAATGAAAAGAACAAAATAGCATTTGTCATATGCAAATCCAATAGCTAGACTAAAACTGACTAGGTTTTAAAAAGATCGGGTAACTTCTTTTGAACTTCGGCGAGTTTATCTAATTAATAATCATATGCTTTACAATAAGCGGAATAAGGAAATCAGGGAGTTTATCATGCCACACCCTTGACTCCTGACCCAAAAAACTAAAACGAGCATAGTATGAGCACACTCATTTACATCACGCACACAATGATTTATCATCGCCTTGCCGAAAGAACTCAACAACCTTTCGACATCGGGTAACTTAGTACCCCTCCTTGTCTCAAAAAAAAAACTTGGTACCCCTCCGTTTCTGAAAAGAACGCCTATAAATATTAGCAGGTCATCCCCTGCTAAATGGACTTGTGGCCCATTGGTACGTCTGCTATGACCCACACTGCCTAAACAGATTTGCGGCCCATTGTACGTTTGCTCACTTTCAACTCAGTATGCTCGACTTTCTCACATGCACCCGAATGAACAGTAAATTAAGAAAAAAATAGCAACTATTTTTTAACTTTTGTGTGATTAACATGTTTCATCTGCGTGCAAAGTTTAATCATTTATAACGCTATGTGCAACAATAACACAATGGATGCTCCAAAAAATTGTTTCTGAAAACATTTTAGTGTACCAATTTTGTTCTTTTTTGCTAGACTGCTATGAATGCCATTACATCACAAAAAATTGCACATAGGTAGAAAGCAAAGGAATGTTTGTTACCATAAAAATAAAAATGAATTGTTTGCCATCTTTGTGGATTTTACTATTCATGGTAGGAGCATTTGAGCTTGGGAAATAGAATGACACATTAAGAGTGAAATGTTGTCACGGGATCATATCATGTGGAGAACTGAACTAAGCTCGGAGTCTTTCGACAAAATAGATTCACATACCAGCTGACAGATACTGAATGGGCAACGAGCTGCCCATACAAGCAGCAAATCCCGCGTAGATTTAATTTCCTTCGGAAGAAAACCCATAAAGAACTGCTAATCAGCAGCAAATATCACAGAAATATCAAGTCCAGATTACCAGCACATACAAACCATCCAGATTACCAGCACATACAAACCATCCAGATTACCAGCACATACATAAACCATCTACTAAAAGAGAGCAGATAGGAGTGACAGAGATGGAATCAACATATATGAATCAAGGGGTGCCCAGCTCGGATCAGATACAGAGTTGAATGAAACAGGCCAAAAGAATGATGTATAGTACAATGCCGTCACAGCCTCAGCAGGGGAGCACTAATCAACACGCTCCAATCACAGAAAGCAATACAACGAATGGGTGATCACCATTACACGGATGCAGCTGGATAAGCCAACCAAATCAACACGTAAATCCCTTCCTCTGTGTTGAGAGGAGCGTTGGTCAGAAAAATCAAGTCAGTTTTTGTACAAACATCTCCTCTCTGTCTTCCTAGCTACAAAGGAGGAGCATCATGCCTTTGGATGGTCTCCAAAATCAGCTCCCTACGAAAAAGGCTTGCTTCATTCCAGTGATATGTCGGAACGAGCAGGAACTACAAACCTAATAATCTCTGGGGATCCCAATGCTGATGCTGACAGGAGAGACTGGGTGGAGGTTACAAAGGTTCAAGCTTGCCAGTAGGCCGAAGGTTGCATCGTAGGATACCTGGCCTGCACAAATCACCAAACAAAGATGACATCATATTTCAGAATGGTTCTCAACTATTTTGCTTGTTATTTTTCAGTCACTTGCACACACAAGTGTTAAATACTGTGCCAGCTACTATAACTGCTTACTGAATTCTGAAAAGGATGCCAAAGCCAGCTCCCAGTTAATTTCTGTCCACTCCATAATTTTCAATAGGAAGTCGTAACTTTTTCATAGAGCCAAACCAAAGCAGAAATGTATGGCAATATATGATTATATATGCAAGGACATCCCACAAATTATACTGCTGAACTAACACTCGTGGGATAAAAAGGACATGCTAGCCTGACGAGTTATTAGTAAAAGCAGCATCAACACTCGAGCACAAACAGCTTACTCTGCTACATGCAGAACGTACAAGGCCTACAGGGGTGCCTAACTACCTAAGGATAGAACTGACCTATTGGTTTCTAGCGCCACCAAATCTTCTGATGCTACCAAAAAGTTATTGAAAGTTCTATTTTATTTTAGATTGTACTCCCTCTGTAAAGAAATATAAGAGCGTTTAGATAACTAAAGTAGTGACCTAAATGTTCTTATATTTCTTTATGGAGGGAGTATTAATTTGTAACATAATCTAGCATGCTACAAAAATTAAAAATTAAAAGGGCAGCCCAGTTAGCTCCCGCTTGCGCAGGGTGCGGGGAAGGGTCCGACCACTTTTTGTCTTTTGTATGCAGCCTTTCCCTGCATTTCTGCAAGAGACTGTTTCCAGGACTCAACCTGTGACCTGATGGTAACAAGGAACAGCTTCACCGCTGCGCCAAATGCTACAAAAATCAAACTCAAACAGAACACATGTAACAAGCAACATAAAGGAGAAATTCTGCTGTCAATAGTACCTCCCTCCCTCAATCTCTCCAGGATACTGTCATTTGAGTTGCATAACCATGAGTTTGATCCTTTAGGTAAGGAATCATACAGAGATAAGAAAAGTAGGAACTTAGTCACTAATCTTCATATAGGTATAGGCCAACTCTCTTCGTGTGTTTACTGTGCCATTGATAAAAGAACAAAGCATGCCTAGACAGGCGTTTAATGTGCGCATAATTGCACTCAAGACGCATGCCTAGTGCCTTTTCCCACTTAAACTCACACAACTTTCATGCAGTGTCGCTGATGCAGCCAACATAGAATGTTCTCTCTCTTAATAATCAAGTACTAGCACATTTCTAATTTCTAAGAAGTTGGTCAAAATACTACTGTACCTGTTTTGGTCTTAACCCACAACAGAGAGTAATCAGGATTATGCTTACTGTCATCAGAAACCCAACAACAGAGAGTAATCATGACTATGCTTACTACCATCGGAAACCCCCTAAACCCTGGCTATTGCTCAAAATTTCTTCTCATCGCTGACAAACATTAGGGCACAATAATCCAGGCGCCCTTAGTTTAAAAGCAGGCTGTGACGCATATCAACACATAAAACTCCCAATCTAAAGTTTCTACCATACGACATGTAGTGCAAAGTCTACATAAGATTATTTACTACAGTTGGGTATCCTTGTCTGACTTTCAGGTAACCACAACAGACGTGCGCTGCATTGCCTAGAACAAACTGGTGTGGGCTCAATCTCATTTGATTATGTTCAGTTTAAATGAAACTCCAAAGCAAGTAAGGAACTGATAGCCAGCAGCAATTATCACAAGTGAAACATTTCAACATACCTCAAGAGTCCACAAATTGGAGATCCACCGTCAAACTGAAATGATCATAGATCCCTTCTCCCACACTCCAGCTCGCCATAATGCAACTCCATTCTGGGCACTGCACTTCTTCCACCAACCATATTAAATCTGGGGCAGTTCCTGTGGGTTATCCATTGATGCCCTCAATATCATCCCAGCCCTCCGCTTCCGGTCATCCTTTTGTTCCTCCTTCAAAAACGACGGGTCCTCCCTCAGATCCATGGAATTTGAATTGAGGGCCACTGCCAGGGGCTTCTTGTTTACTCCAATCTTCAGGTGCACTGGTGCCCTCACCTTTGGAACAATGCTCTTTTGGTTCTGATTCTGGTCCCAACCTGTCCCAGAATCAAGCTCCATAGCATTTGCACCCTGAATTGCTGGTGCAAATGCATCAAGGACAGAAAGTTTCTTCCGCTCAGAAGGGATATCAACCTCTGACACCTCCTTGTCTCCATGCGGCAAAGCAGGCTCAAGAAAAGGATTTCTCTTGCTCCCAGCCGGTTGTATCTCCTTCCCTTTGGCTGCACTATCCTCAGAAACCGCTGGCCGAAACCCATCAGCGCCCGCAAGGGCCAATCGTTGCTGCAAACTGAGCAGCGACTTCTCGGCCTTCCTCCGCTGCCGCACCTGTTCGACCATGTCCACCCTGTCCTTGGCCGCCTGCTCACTCCACACCTCTGTCCTGACGTAGGTGTGTGGGTCCGGGAAGGCCGGTAGCCACTCAGGAACATGCCTCATCCCAGTCTCCCTCTCAGCCACAGCAAAGCTGGGCGTGGGCTGCGGAGCGCGGGGTATAGGGAACTTGGGCAATGGACGCGTGAATGGCACCTCGTCCTTGGAGTCGACGAACGCCATGAGGTCCTTGACGACGCCTGAGCCAACGAGGCAGCGGCCTGAGGTGCCGGCCCCGGCGAAGCCATCAAAGTCGGTGCCGATTTCCTCGAGGGACTGGATGATGTCGTACTCGTTGGCGAGCGCGCGGCCGGCGAGGTTGGCGTGGAAGGCCGCGGCCCTCCCGAGGTGCGTGAGGTAGCGGAGGAGGACGTCGACGAGCGCGTCCACGGCCGAGCGGTGCGTGCAGTCGAAGCCCGCGGCCTCGAGCGCCTGCGCCACCGCCGCCCGCGCCACCGCCCTCCCGAACTCGTCCCCGCTGCCGCTGCCGCTGGTGCCCGCGCGGTCACTCATACTGCTCCCTCTTGTCCTCCCGCCGCTCCCGACCGGTCATACCGTCGAGCACCTGGCGGGCGTGGCGGTCCCAGATCCGGAGCTAGGGTTAGATCTCTGCTCGGGCCACGCCGTCCACGCCACCATCCAGGGCGAGCCGGGGCGAGCTAGACGCAGCCGCGCGCCGGAATTGCGCGCCCGACCGCCCGCCTCGAGCTCGCGCCCCCGGCGGGATTCGAATTCGGTCGGCGCGAGACGACGCGGTGGCTGGGGGCGGGGATTGGGCGGGAAATCGGGAGCGGGGTGGGTTTGGAAGCAGGAGACCGTTGGGGATTTAGGGTTTGGGGAGGGGAGCACGCGCGGGGGGTTTGGGTGGGGCTCTCTCTGATCCGAGCACGCGGGCGGGGAAGCGAGGGGAGGTGGAGACGAAGGCCTTGGGGAGAAGGGAAGAACGCGTCCGCTTGACTTTATAGAGGAGGGCGTGTGGAAATCCCGTGTGCGCGAGCCGGGTGCGCGGAGCTCGGCGGGGACACGTGGCGATGGACGGTTGGTTTGGCCTCGTGGACTCTTTCCAGCGTGGACGCCGTGTTCTCCACGACGGGGTTCTGTTGCTCGGGCCTCCGCAGAGGAAGGCGGCCCAACTGGCCCAGTTACAAGTGAAATATGCCAAAGGACAACACTAAAATAGTACAGACATTTGCCTCAAAAAAATAAAAATAGTACAGACATAAACTGGAAAATAAAAACTAGATTCCTCTGTTCTGTTATCCATGGTTGCAATGAATAAGACGGTATGAGAAAGAACAAAATTTTCATGGCTGAACAGCCAGTGATAAAGCATTGGCATGCTTCATGCCAACATGACTACAACCCATAACAGGATGAACTGAACAGAAGAACCGGACCGATCACCGGCATCTGTGCCGCTGGGAACATGTGGCAATGCAGCATCTGGCATGTCGATTTAGGTCTGTTTGCCCCGTCAGTGGTTACGCTTGTGGACCTCCACGCTGCCTGCCGATGCCAGGTTCGCGGCTCGGTTGCTGCCAAAGTTCTTGCGGTTTGATTCCCTTGCTATTCTTGAACCAAACTGCACAAAGCATCAGATGGATTGTAAGTGAGGACACATATTGTTGTCTACAACTCCCTACGGTCCATATTACTTGTCGCTCATCCGGATGTATCTAGAATTGAAATACGTCTAGATACATCCGTTTGAGCGACAAGTATTATGGATCGGAGGGAGTACAATCCAAATAGTGTAACTTATCAACACACAACACTACAACTATTCTACTGAAGGAAACAAATGGTTATAAATTATGTACCTGGATTGCTCGCTTTGGCAAAAAAGCAGCTTCTTGTAGACCCAGCAGCTTTGCAACCTGCAACAGTGTCACATTATTGAATCAGCAAAAGGGGATGGAGATCAGAACATAGTCTGTAACAACTTAAATATAGGTAGAGTTAAGAAAAACGGAATGCAAACCTCTCTCAGAATCTTCTTATCACCCTTCCCCACGGGCTCATCAAGTTTAGCGATATCCCATAGTGGGATTTCCAACAATGTTCTGATCACACTCTCATCAAGAAATGGAAAACGAGCCTGTCATGGGCACATGGGTACACATCAGCCACTAAAAGCCTATAGCCAAAGCTGAACTAAAAAAGCATGACGAAGATTACCTCCTTGCCATGGTCAGAAATGCACCTATCATCTCTTCCCATGTTTCTTTTCCAAATTCTTTGCACATCTAGTCTCATTTCCTCGTCCAGTGAAACCCATCTAAATAGGGGTACAAAAAATGAATTTAATTTGTTTTTGCAATATCTGCAAAAATATCTCAAACGACAGTCACATTATTTAGCAATGCAGTGCACTAAATCAATGCATACATACCCTCCAACTCTATATTTAGTACGATGTCTACCATAACCAGCACACTGCTCATCAGCTCCAGAACCGACTAAAAGGACTCTAGATGTTGACTTGTGTTTGTAGCGATCACCATCTTGCCCATTCACCCAACCATCCCCGCTAGCAGCTAACCATAGGGCTACACCAATGTTCAAATCCTGTGCAAAAGATCCAGCATTTTAACTCAAATAAATCTAACAGGAGCAAAAGAGCATAGTAAAGATTTACCAACAGTCCATCATATTTTCAAATTAAACAGATATGTGTGAATGAATAGAGCTGCAGTGCTAAATATTATCTTCTATTGTCCAGTACGTGGTGCACACACATGAAGACGATTGTGTCATATGACGGAACTATGGTGAACTGTGGTCTCAAGGATGCCAAAGGGTGTTCAGATTTCTACTCCCATCAGTCCACCACTGATCTTACTGCAGCCTCTTACACATAATCTCCCACAGAACCACTAGGAAGACACAACCACCATAACAAACGCACATAATAACCAGGTATTTTTATAAGTAAATAAAAACTTGGTTAGAAGGGATGGGGAATTCAGGGGGTCGGGAGTTGATGGGCATGCGGATGTAAGTGAGATGAGTACTGGAAGTTTAACGGTCCAAATGTGCATCGTTGCTCAAAGAATGTTTAATAAATCTTAGTGTTTCATCATAAATTGGGATGTCTTAAAACTACAAATCAAATTCCTCAAGAGTTTCTCGTCTATTGCAAAACAGGGTACCAGGACTAAAAGCAAACACCCATTTCAAATCCTACCTTAAACTTCCTCCTCTAAACTCCATCTCCCAATTACTCCCTCCGGTCCTTTTTACCTTGCGCATAACACAAAGCCCGGATACCAAGGAGAGGCAGCCATGCAAAAACCTGGACAATTTTACCCCCACAACAGTGTGATCTGTGTATACGGATACCCTGCTGAAAAATAACTGCAGACGCTTTGATTGGCTGTCCTCCTTTGACTCCTCATAGCGCAGGCCCCTGCATGCATGCTCTGCATGCCAATTGGTTACTGACAGGTGCTAATTAAGGGATGGGATGGAAAGGGCAGTGGCATGGATGGAAAGACTAGCTGCGGTGGCTTAGTACGCAGACTATTAAGGGAAAAATTGAAAAAATTTATACGCACACTATTGAGGACCGGAGGGAGTATTAACAAACAGGTATAGTCAATTAGACCAGACTAAACTCTTATCTTTTATTATATACCAAATGTGATCCCAAAAGAAAAGATGGTCTCGAGTCTTGACGTTTGGTATTGTCATATGCAAAGAAAAAAAAGATGCATGATTCGAAGTTTACAGCACCATTCCAAAATCCAAATCCAAGATGAATTAAATCAAGTGACACTGCATGGATGACTCGATCGTTCATATGTTGTTTGGCCTTCAGCCTTGTAAACCAAGGAAACTAACCTAATGAAGCATTAGTAGGATATAAGAAGATACACACCATATATGTATTTGAAGGGTATATCAGTGACATCACGTGTTCACTTTCCTCTTTCAAGTTGGCCAAATTACTGTCAATCTCAACAAGACGCCATCTGCAAATAAGACAGTGAAATGAATATCATAGTGAACACTTCATTTAGTATTAGTCTGACACTCTGATACAAATTTCTTTTTACATGGCCAGACCAATGCATGAGCATAATATGCTAGCATGGTAAAATAAAAATGCAGGACAAAAAAAGTTAATCGATAAGTGAACGATGCATCACAAGGATACAGTATCAATCACTCCAATTAAAGCAACAGAACATTTACAGTGAATGATGGGCATGAACGAGGAACTAAGAAAGCACAACTGTAAAATAATGCAAGACGCAGATGACAGATTATGCACATTAGAGCATATTGATCATCTGATGGATAGAAGGCTTGCAAAGTAAACAACATAAGGTTCATCATGTATGAGGAATTCATTAGGCTATAGCACAAGTGCCAGAATTTGAGTCCAGAATTCATTTTGCACAGAAACATGATGAAAGTACTGTCTGTCTTTTGATATGTGCAAACCAGCAACAATACAAAATCATCTATGTTCAGCACCAGATACAAGCCATCAAGGCAAAGAATATGGAAAGTTCACGTCAAATCACCTCCGCAGAGGGGAGATTCTCTGAAGCTCCTTCAGTCCTGCCAGTGAAGAAACTCTATCTGGAGCTAGCTGCCCATCAAAACTGACATTCAGCAAATCAATTGTCCCTGCGCAAAATCTTAGTTAGCTTTCCTCAAAAACCAAAGTTTGTGGTGTACTATGTAGCAGCTAACTTCCATGCTATTATGTTAAAAAGAAGATAGTGATGAATAAAATGTAGTAGGAACACACTTGAACATACATTTGGAATCAAGGCACTGGTCTAATAATGCTGCAAGTATCATGGAGTCCAGGCCACCAGAGAAAAGGATTGCTATCGGGGCCAACTCCGCTTCCTCGAGTTTATTCAGATCACCCTGTCCACAACAAGGACTCTGTAAAGTTGGCCTGATAGACTAGTAACAGAAAATGCAACATGAAAAAGGTAGCAGCATTTTCCTTCCAAGAAAGAAGATAGAACCATTTCAATGAAGGTCTCAAAACACTGGTGGAGTTGTAAAAAAAGAAGGCAATATTACGAATATGTTGGTTACTCACCTGATACAGTATGTTCACATTGGTTCGCAGCATTACAGATTCCCTTAGTGCAATTAATACTCTATGTGCTGAAACATGATAGAAAAGTCTCACCATTAGTAACTTCGTAAAGTTAAAATATCTCGGGTAATTTTTAGCAAACATCTGATGCACCTGACTGTATACCTGGAGATAAGCAAATATCTGATGGGAGATCTCTTTTCTCAAACCCATTACTTGTACTGTCTTCAGCTTCTCTAGAGTTTCTGAAACACGACGACAAGTGATGGTTCCCTTTGTCAACCGAACCCATAGCCGAAATCAACCCATCCACAGTAGGAACTGTCGATTTTCTCTCCCATCGTATTAAAGTATGCAACGAAGAATCCGTCCAATCATGTTTTCTAACTACACATCCTTCCTTCGTACATGCGGCATTATTATCAAGGTCTTTCAGGTGAATGCTGTATATCCCACAAGGAAGCTCTTCCCAGTAGCAAACTTTGGTGTGGTCAGAAAAATCAGGGTCTGCTCCTGCCTCCAAACCACTTACTTTTGTTGCTGCAAGAGTGAAGAAGAGTATATATGAGAATGGACATGCACAATTAGATATGAGTTACAACATTGAAAGCATGTACAAATTCAGAAACATCACAGTTTATTTTCAGTTCAGGAATGTTTTCACCTTTTGAAAAAGATGATGAACAAACCATTGATAAGATACTAAGATAGATACATCAACTCACGCTTATCTTACCAGAGTTATTCCTTGAAAACGAAGGGGGTGATACTGATGATAATATAAAGCGTGAATCATCAGGAGTGGGCCAATGTACCAACAGGCTTCTTCTCCCAAATGCATCCCGGCCAAACCACAATGTTTTTGAGTCTGTCTGGAAGTTCAATGCGACATTGATGTTAGGAAACAGAGTCTACAATGAAATGAAAACAAGCCAAACATCACAATTACCTGCCTGCCAATATATCAAAGCCCATGGTCCTTTAATAGTGGAGAGGATCCGTGGAACTGATTTCCCTACGCTCTCACGGCAAGGGTATGCTTCATCTCTATCAGCAACATGGAGGTCACAGCAACAGCAAGATTCCAGTGAAGACAAGAGCGATTGTGTATCATTCTGATCATTGGCAATGTTAATTCCTCCATATATCTCACCTTATAATGAAAATAATAAGAGCAGTGTGAATTTTCATGTAACGTAATAACTCAGGTCCTTAGATACTTGGATTAAAGGAAAGCAACAATAATATGCCATTGATACATCGATGTGTGATTTTAACTGAACCATCAGAAGCATTTCCTGTGTACTGAAGTCAGATATATGTGAATCATGCAAAAGGGATTACGGTTGCTGTTGAATGTAAATCTGATCAACAAACCATTTAAGAAACATAATCAACTAAATATGTAACTGAATATGGTGGAACTTGTTATAAGCACTACCAAAAATGTGTATGTCCCAGTATACAACAGCATATATGAAACATATCAGAAGACATCGATTTGTAAGGAAAAGAAAAAGGAAAACAATACTGTCTTTTTAGTTTATAAAAGCATTACCATTATACACTAGAACACTTCCTGATTGCGCCACCAGTGGCTGCGAAACCGGCTCAGCTCCCCTGAGCTGCAGTGTCGCGCCAATGAAGCACAACTCCGTGGCACCAACACCACCACCAACCTTATCTCCACCGTCACAATCTACGCCATCTGCAACACACAACAGTCGTCATAAGAGATGGTCAAAGCGACCAAAACTCCAAAGCATTACAAAACATCAGTGAGGGAACCACCACCTGTAGCACCTACGATGGTGCCGTCCGCGCAAAGGTGGAACCTATGGCATCCAAGGCTGTCCGGGCCTCGCCGCCGCAGGGCCTCCTTGAGCTCACCCACGGACACGCCCTTCCCCTGCACTCACATGTACAGCTTGGCTCGATTAGGGTTTAGGGTCTGGGAAACCACAACGGGGAGGGATTTAACTCTGCTTTGGTAGGTTTTAACGGATACTAGTGACAGTACCTCGTCGGAGAACGGTGTTCCGGATGCAGCGGCTTCGGCGGCGGCGGCGGTGGAGGGGGCGACGACTAGGCAGTCGCCGGATAGGACGAGGGCTATGCCGCACATCGCTGACTTCGGGACCCGCTTGCCAGTGGGGCGCAATCGCACGCTCCGGCGCCGTGCATAACCATTTTTTTCTCTTTTTTTAGGGTACCTCTTTTTTTCTTTTTGATTGAGAGAAGACGGCGACGTGCATAACCGGTTTCGCAGCACGAGGCCTTGGGTTTGGTTGAGGGCTTGGGCCCAACAAAGTGTGTGTTCGGTTTCTTTTTTACTCACCAAGCATAAGGAATATTTTGGAAAGATGAAATAAAAGTTGAAGTTATCGGTTATTCGGAATATCACATTGATGTTACGATCAAAGACCTCGCCGAAACACAGTTCAGGGCCACCTTTGTCTATGGAGAGGCCCAGGTGAATGAGCGTTACAAGACTTGGAACATGCTTCGTGGCATAGTGGGGGTCAGCAACCTACCATGGGTGGCCATTGGCGACTTTAACGAAGTCCTCCACGCGCATGAGCACGATGGAGTCGGTCAGAGAAGTCAAGCTCAGATGGATGCATTCCGGGACACACTTGACACATGTGGTCTGTCAGATATTGGCTAGTCAGGCTCCAACTGGACGTTCGAAAAGAAAGTAGCCGGAGGCACATACACCAGAGTGAGACTAGATAGAGGGGTCGCTACTTCAGAATGGCTCTTGGCCTTCCCCACAGCCGAAGTAGAACACAAGCAGGCGGCTACATCAGATCACGTACCGATTTTGCTCCGGTTGCAAGACGTGCATGCATGCAGGAGGGCCCCGCGGATATTTAGATATGAGCAATGCTGGGAGCGAGACCCCACGCTCAATAATGCAGTGAGTGCTAGTTGGGCTAGAAGCCAAGGAGACACAGTGGAAGCACTGAATACAAAACTGCAGAACCTCTCTGGCGATCTGGGAGATTGGGAACGCAGCCACTTTGGGAACATCCGCCAGGAGATCAACTGTTTAAAAAAGCAGCTGCAAGTTTTGCGCGAGATCCAAGGGCGATCTGGGCCATCGCATGCAGAGGTTAAAGTGATGGATAGACTGGTAGAGTTATACCACCGCGAGGAGATATTATGGCGTCAGAGAGCTAGACTGGACTGGCTAGTACACGGAGACAAGAACACTTACTTTTTTCATTTACGAGCCAGCCGGAAGAGACGTAAAAACCAGATTAAAGCTCTGTTACGCCCAGATGGAGAGATGACAGAAGATACCATCCAGATGGAAGCCCTGACAAACACTTTTTATAAAGATCTCCATACGTCTGAAGGGGTCCAAAACATGCAGCAGGTGCTCGATACAGTTCCATGCAAGGTCACTCCGGAGATGAACGACATGTTAAATGCACCATACACACAGGCAGAGGTCAAAACGGCACTGTTCCAAATGTTCCCGACAAAAGCACCTGGCCCGGATGGTTTTCCAGCGCATTTCTTCCAGCGGCACTGGGAGGTATGTGGCGATGAAGTGACACAAGTGGTCCTTAAAATAGTGGAGGGGAAGGAGTCGGCTGAATGCATCAATGAGACCATATTGGTTCTGATTCCGAAGGTAAAGAATCCAACTATGCTGACCCAATTCCGCCCTATTAGCTTATGCAATGTTTTATATAAAATTGCTTCGAAGGTAATATCTAACCGCCTGAAGGTAGTGTTACCTGATATAATATCAGAAGAGCAGTCTGCTTTTGTGCCAGGGAGATTAATAACGGATAATATCATCACGGCTTATGAGTGTTTGCATTTCATGAAGAGGAATAAGGCGAAGAAACATCAATCATGTGCTCTGAAGCTAGACATGATGAAGGCCTATGACAGGGTTGAATGGTCCTACCTGCAAGCTATAATGCTCAAGCTAGGCTTTACGGACAGATGGGTACAAATAGTCATGAGTCTTGTCTCTTCGGTGAAATTTTCAGTAATGTTCAATGGCAAGAGACTGGAGGAATTCAACCCTACCAGAGGTATAAGACAAGGGGACCCGATCTCTCCATACTTGTTTTTGTTGGCAGCAGAGGGCCTTTCGTGCCTCCTAAAATCTAGAAGTGAGTCATCCAATTTGCAAGGTTTACAAGTGGCACCCTCGACGCCTTCGGTGAACCATCTTTTATTTGCTGATGACAACCTGCTATTTTTCAAGGCAAATGGTATGGGAGCAACCGAGGTGAACCTCGTCTTGGACATCTATTGTCAAGCTACAGGTCAGAGGATAAATTACTCCAAATCATCTATTTTTTCAGTAAGGGAGTTCCCGATGGGACAAGACAGGAGATCAAAACGTTGCTACACGTTCCAAATGAGACTCTCAATGAAAAATACTTGGGTATGCCATCTGATATTGGTTCTTCAAAGAACGGGTCGTTCAAATATTTTGAAGGATCGATTATGGAGTAAAATTCAGGGTTGGATTGAAAATACCATGTCAGCGGCCGGTAAGGAGGTGTTGGTGAAAGCGGTTGCCCAGGCTGTTCCTGTATATTCTATGTCATGCTTTAAGCTTCCGAGGGGCCTTTGTGAACACCTCAACATGCTTATCAGGAAGTTTTGGTGGGGTTCCAAACAGGGACAACGGAAACCACATTGGGTGTCTTGGAAAACAATGACGCAACCAAAGAGCATGGGGGGTCTCGGCTTTAAAGACTTTGAGCTTTTTAACATGGCTATGCTTGCTAGGCAAGCCTAGCGACTACTACAAAACCCGGAATCGCTTAGTGCCAGAATTCTAAAGTGCATCTACTACCCAGACACAACAATACTTGAAGCGGTCCTAGGAAACAACCCGAGTCAAATTTGGAGGGCAATGATAGAAGGAAGAGATACACTCAAACTGGGTTTGATTAAGAGGATTGGCAATGGAGGTGACACGAGGATCTGGGAAGATCAATGGCTGCCACGGGGCGAGATGATGCGCCCCTATGGATGTATATCACAGAATCCGCCCACCCTTGTTTCGGAGTTGATTGACTCAATGTCAGCCAAGTGGAACACACAAAAAGTTAATGAGTTCTTCATGCCTATGGATGCGAAGATCATACTACAAATCCCCATATGCACAAGAAACATCCCCGATTTCTGGAGCTGGTTTTTCGATAAGAAAGGAAACTTTACATTTCGTTCAGCATATAACATGCTCGTGGCAATCCGGCAGAGAAGGGAAGCCTGGCTCGAGGGGTCTGGCGGCCCGTCTAACTCGGCCAAAGAGGAGAAGGAGTGGAAGTTGATGTGGAAGACGGCGGTCCCCGGAAAAGTCAGAATGTTCATTTGGCGTTTATCACAGCACTCAATACCCACAAATGATGTAAGAGCACACAGGCACATGTCGGACTCCAGTGCATGCGGAATATGCGGGGCGCCAGATTCATGGAAGCACTCTCTAGTCGATTGCACCATGTCAAGGTGTACGTGGGCACTAGTTGATGAAGAACTCGGACAGCAAATAGCAGCCACCTCTGAACCCAATGCGAAACAATGGTTATTCACACACATGCAGTCGTTATCTCATCCGCTGTTCGTAAAAATTGCGGTCACGCTATGGGCAATCTGGGCGGCTAGGAGAAAGGCCATCCATGAGGGTATTTTCCAAAGCCCCCATGCTATACACTCTTTTGTGGTCCGATTTATTCAGGAGCTGGAGATGATTCGGGAAGAAGGAGGAAGAGAGGTTCGGGCCAACCCAGCAGCTCGCACTACTACAGCAAGAAGGCCAAAAGCTCCACCACATGGCCACTGCAAGATACACGTCGATGCCGGGGTGCGACCGGGTCAAAGAGGAGTGGCAGTAGCAGTCTGCCGGGATAGCGACAGGAACTACTTGGGGAGCTCAGCCCTGTCAATTCACGGTCTCCACGACCCTGCTACTTTGGAGGTCATCGCATGTAGAGAGGCTCTCGCTCTTGCTTCGGACCTGAACGTCCATCAATTTGTCATTTCCTCTGATTCTAAACAAGCCATCGGCGACATCAATGGGGGAGCTATGGGAGACTACGGGGCTATTATCAAGGAGATAAAGCTTCAAGCTTCAACTTTTACTTGTTCTTTCATTTACGAAAGTGGTGCTATCAATTTTGAAGCACATAGTTTAGCCAAATATGTACTTAATCTCGGTCAGGGGCGCCATGTGTGGTTTGGCCAACCCCATGATCCGAACCGTATCCCACTCCATGTGGCTTTTGATGAATAAAGTTTGGCTAAACCCTCAAAAAAACCCAAGCATAAGGACATCTCCAAGGTTGCAAAATCACTAATTAAGGAGTACTAGTAGAGTGCCCGTGCGTTGCCACGGGCTCTTGAAATAGTTTACAAGAATTACATGTTCAATTTCACACGTACAAACAAATATAACCCAAACACAATTATTGAATAATTGAAGTCCATTTTTGCAATATAAATTGATAACAAAAAGAAAGATTAACGACTTGTCCATGTAACAAACTGAGCGATGTTCGACCATAACATCTATTACAAAATTATCAATATCTAGATGATGTGCTTAAAAAATTCTTTCACAATATCAAAAAAGTTGTCTTTAGCTTCATTCGCACGATGTTTTAGTAAGTATAATAAAAATTGTTTCCTCAACTCATATCCATCCTGCACAAACAATATATGTAGTTAGTATAAAATTTTTACGCTGAAGGTCCTAAAACATGTAACAGACAATACTCACCCCGCAAACCGGCTTGACCAATTCTTTACCGTTCCACCGGAGCATAAAATGAAAAACGAAATAGCCAGACACATTCCTGCAATTTTTTAAATTAATAATATAAAGAATATAGTGATAACAAAAATAAATGTTTTTATTATGAATTCATTACCCGTCTATTCTCATTGAAATACCAAACGAAAATAAATGTTGTCATTTAGATATATCGGAATTCCAACCAGGCCGCTTTATTTCATGTGCTTCTTTGAAATCCCTTGCAAAACTTCTAAATTTCAGTGCATGCCTTCCTCTAACGATTGTGATGTTTGAATAGGCTCCATAATATATAGACGACGTGCCTCTTTGTCGATGACGTATAAGATGTATCG